AGCCCGCAGGCTCCAGCAGCTGAGGGGAGGGCTGGCGTGGGCGGAGCAGGGTTCCTGGGGCGTCGGAGCCGCAGCCACTGCTCCCAGCTGGTGCGGTGGTGCACGTTGGGGCCACCTGGAGAGGTCTTGTTTGTCCCACTAGCAGAAAGGGTGATGAGTCGGCACGGTGCATGGCCACTGGCGTGAGATCACCCAGCTGACGCTACTGCGGGGTGGTCTGAAACGCCGCCTCCGGTGTCCTGCGTGGGAGCCGCCTGGATAGACTGACTTCAGCGCGGTCTCGGATTTGGTGGGTCTGAGCCGAACCCCTGGCCCTGCTGTGCTTGGAGGCGAGGCTGCAGGGCTCCAGGTGCCTGCTCCTCTGTCGGCACGCCACCCGTCCATCCCTCCTGACTGCTTCGCGGTGATCGGTGATCGTTCTAACAATCTGAAGCAGAAACCTTAGAAGAGGAAATCGCGAAAACTTCTACGTAGACAGCCGTGTTAGCACCACAGAGTTTTAAGAGATTCACGTGAAAATTAAGCGTGGTATGTAAGTTTGAAATCCTGGAAAATGGACCATGGAAAAAAAACCTGGTTAATTTCTTGACTCCGTTAAGAAATGCTGGCTAGCCATCTGAAAAGGGGCTTACGAAGTTTTTGGTATCATGGGGAAGTGTTTTAATATATGAAGCAAACAAATCCTAAAATACAGTTTTAACTTTGTACAAAAATATGTAGAGGCAGATAATGAAATATAAAATGTGCAAGGATTTACTTTCCAATTTTATGTATTCAACCGTTCGTTCTCTAAGGAGCATGTATGGTTTCTCCACCCGGTCACATGCAGGATGTTCTTTCATTTACAGTGGAATCACATCCCAGTAAGCCCACCATAAGTTGAAAAGATGCCAAATAAAAAAGCATTTAGGGGCTGGGAGTACGGTAGTGGTGGGATGCTTGCTTAGCACATTTGAAGCACTTGGGTTCAATCCCTAGCACCGCAAAAAGAAAGAAGCAGCACTCAGGAGGCTGACAGGACAGCCGAGAATTCAAGACCACGGGGCTACCCACTGAATTTAAGGCCCTCTTGGATTATAGTAAAGTGAGACCCTGTCCCTAAAATTAAAGAAGGCACTTACTACACCTCAGCTGCCAAACAGCGCAGTGTACAGCAGAGCCCTGGCGGTTTACCCTCATCATCTTGTGGCTTCTTGGGCACTGCTCCCTGCTGCTGCCCAGAATTTTAAGCATCATACATATAACCCTAGGCCTGGAAAAGACCAAAATTCGAAACACAGGAGTATAGCTTTTCCTGAAAGCACACGGCTTTCATAGAACTCCCAAGTGCAACTCCACTAGCAAGTCCTGTCAGTGAAGTGTCCAGAGCACACATCTCCATCCTGCTGTCGTCACCACAGGATATCAGGCTGTTATTTCTCAGCTGAAGTCCTGACAAAGCCTATGTGATTCTGCTTCCTCTATTGCTCCACTCCCAATCTACTCGTCTGCTGGTGAACTGAAAACACAAAGTGGAGCCACATGTGGTAGCCCACTATAATCCCAGCGCCCTGGGAGGCTGAGGCAGGGGAAGCGTTAAGTCTGGCCCAGCCTGGGTCATTTAGCAAGACCCAGTTCCAAAATAAAAAGTAAAAGGGCTGTAGATGAAGCTCAGTGTGAAGGCCCTAGGTTCCATCCTCAATGCTGCGGGCGGGGGTGCGGTGCTGAGACTTCTGTCTTCCTTTTTCTCTCGTTGCTGAGACAGAATACCTGACACCCAAAATTAAAGAAGGAAAGATTTATTTAGCTCTCAGTTTGTAGAGGTTTCAGTCCATAGGCAGCTGGCTCCCAGGCAGAGTGTACATGGTAGAGCAGCATCAGAGAAGAAACAGTTCATGGCTCCCACAGGGTAGCAAAAACAACAGGGGAAGTCTTTCTGCTCCTTTTATCTTATTCAGACTACACAGGGCAGGTAGCACTCACAGTCTTGATCCTAGTGCCCTCAGACCAAGCACTACACCATGAACCAGTCACACACTCTAGATCCAGTCATCTCTGAAGAAGCCACCTGTGACTGCATGAGACTTTGCGGGGGACACACCATAATAACTTCCTATGTGGCTATAGCTGTCCCAGAATGCGGGCTCAACAAGCCTCCTGCCACAGCCTCCCAAGGATCTAGACCTATGGGCAAGCACCATGATGCCTGGCCTCAATAATTTTTTAAAAGTTAATTTTTGGGGGCTGGGGATTTAGCTCAGCAGTTTGGTGGCCTGCCTTGCAAGCACAAGGAACCAAGTTCAATCCCAGGTACCAAAAAAAAAAAAAATAATAATTTTTGGTACATTTAAGGTATACAATGACATTCATCATTGGAAATTTGTACCTTTACATAATCCATCTTGGTTATTTTTTTCCCCATTCCCCTGCTCTCCAACCCCTCCACTCCTCCCTATCTATGAAGACTTCGTTTCCATTTTTCACTTTCTCATATTAATTCTACTTTTTTCTTTTCCCCTACCCCCTCCACTTCACCTTCCCCTTTGCCCATTTTTCCCTATTTCACATTATCTATTATATGTTTTAGTCCTTACATTTTGTTTCTCACACCAGAGATACTCAGTATTTACGTGTGTCCTATTTATTTCACTTGAGTATCACCTCAGTGTGCAGCCATTTAATTATAACTGTCTCTAGTTTCTCACTCTTTATGGCTGAGAAGTACTCCATTTTATTAAAAAAACACTTTTTTTAAATCCAGTCTCCCATTGATGGGCACTTGGGCTGCTTCCAAGTGTTAGCTATAATTTGTGTAGCTATGAACATGGGTACATATATAGCACTGTGGTATGATTCTTTTAATTATTTGAAGAAGATACCTAGCAGGAGAATAGCTGGGTCAAATGGGGCTTCCAAACCTAGTACTTTGAGATCTCCATACTGATTTCCACAGTGGTTGCACCAGTCTAAACTCCAACCAGCGGTGGAGCAGTGTTCCTCTCTCTCCACAGTTCTGACAACATTTGTTATTTGGGTTTTTTTTTCCCTCATTGAGTTTATTGGTACATTTTAGGTGTACAGTACAGTTACATTCATCATTGGGATCCTGAACCTTTACACGAAAGGTCTTGGTTCTCATTTTTTCCCCTTGTCCCTGCCCTCCCTTCTCCTCTCCTCCCCTTCCCCTTCATTTCCATTTTTTTTCATTCTCTCGTATTTTTTTCTTTTCCCTTATTAGCTTTCCCCTACAACATTTGTTATTTGTTGATTTCATGACAGCAGCCATTTTTTTCTGGGTGAGGTGGAATCTCAGCATTGTTTTCATCTGCATCTCTCGAATGCCCAGAATGTTGAAAAAATTTTCATATGTTTATTTGCTGCTCCTACTTCTTTGAGAAATGTCTGTTCACTTCAGATGTCCATTTTTAGATTGGGTTTTTAAATTTGGAAGGTCTGGTTTTTTAAAGTTTTCTTTTCTTTTTTTTTTTGGTATTGGGGATCGAACTTGGATCCTTGCACTTGTGAAGCAGGCAGCGGAACCACTGAGCGAATTACCCAGCCCTTAAAGTTCTTTATATATTCTGGATAATAGACCTTTGCCTGAGGAACAGCTGGTGAAAAGTTTTTCCCACATTGTGGGTTGTCTCTTCACACTGTTGGTGGTTTCTCTTGCTATGTGGAAGCCTTTTAAAGAAGACATTCCACTTTTTGATGGTGCTAGTTCACAGACAAACTACACCAATGTCTTCAAGACTTCTACCTAACCTTTCTTCCGGCCGGTTTAGTGTTTCTGTTTTATTATTTAGATCTTTAATCCATTTCAATTTTAGTTTAGTGCATGGTGAGAGATACAGGTCTAGTTGTAATCTTTGACAAGTTGAAAACCAGTTTTTCCAGCACCATTTATTAAATAGCCTATCTTTTCTCCAGTGAGGGTGTTTGGCTCATTTGTTGAAGATGAGGTGGCTCAGTGTGTGTGGAGTTGTTTCTGCATCTTCTAAGCTGTTCAATTGGTCCTCGGGTCTGTTTCTTTGCCAGTGCCATGCTGTTTTTATCACAGTAGCTTTGTAGTATAGTTTCAAGTTGGGGATTGTGATACCCCTTACTTCCTCTTTATTGCCTAGAATTGCTTTTGCTAGTCTAGGTCTCTTCATGTTCTAAATGAATTTTTGGATTGTTTTCTCAAGGTATGTGAGGTATACAGCTGGAATTTTAATTGGGATTGTACTGAATCTATATGGCAGTTTTAGAAGTATGGCTATTTTCACTATGTTGATTCTTCCTACTCAGGAGCAAGGGATGTCTTTCCACTTTCTGATATCATCTTTGATCTCTTTTCAGAGTGCTACATTTTTCAGAGTGGAGGTCTTTTTCTTTCACTACATATAATCCTAGGTATTTCATTTTTTGGATGCTATTGTGAAAGGAAATGATTGCTCCATTTCTCTCAGTGAGTCTGTTGTTTGTGTACAGAAAAGTATTGATTTTTTTTGTGTGTGCTGACCTTATATTCATATTTTACTGAATTTGATTAAATCTAGAAGACTTTTGGTGGAGTTCTTGGGGTCTTCTATATAGAGTATCAAATCATCTGTAAATGATGACAATTTGACTTCATTTCCTATCTTTATTCCTTTTATTTCTCTTATCTAATTGCTGTGGCTGTTTCCAAAACTATATTGAACAGGAGTGGTAATAGTGGACATCCTTCTCTTGTTCCTGATTTTAGCTTAAAGGTTTTCAGTTTTTGACCATGTAGTATGATGTTGGCTGGTTTTTCATAGATGGCATTTATCAGATTGAGGTAGAGACCATCTATTCCAATTTTTGGAGGTTTTTTTATCATAAATGCATATTGGATTTTGTCAAATGCTTTTTCTGCATCTATTGAGATGATCACATGGTTTTTATCCTTTGCTCTACTAATATAGTATATTACATTTATTGATTTTTGAATGTTGAACCATCCCTGCATCCCTTGGATGAATCCCACTTGGTCAGGGTGTATGATCTTCTGCATTCTATTTGCCAGTATCTTATTAAGGATTTTTATGTCTATGTTCATTAGTAAGATTGGCCTACAGTTCTCTTTTTCTGTTGGGCCTTTTTCTACTTTTGGGAACAAGGTGATGCTTGCTTCCAGGAATGAATTTGGGAGTATTGCTTCCCTTTCAATTTCAATGAAGACTTTAAACAGAAGTGGCAATAGTTCTTCTCTAAATGTCTTGTAGAATTCAACAGTGAAGCCATCAGGACCTGGGCTTTTCCTTGTTGGTAAATTTTTAATTATATTTTCAATTTCATTGATTGATATTGGGTTTAGAATTTTTAGGTCATCTTTGTCCAACTTTAGTAATTCATACATTATTTAGGAATCCGTCCATTTCTTGTTTTCCATCTTATTGGCATATAGGTTCTTGAAGTAGGTATTGATACTCTGGATTTCTGCTGGGTCCATTGTAATTTCACCCTTTTCATTCCTATTTTCATGGATTTGGGATTTTTCCTTTTTTTAATAAGGTTGGCTAAGGGTTTGTCAATTTTGTTTATTCTTTTGAAGAAGCAACTCTTTGCTTTATTGATTTTGTATTCTCTTAGTTTCCACTGCATTGATTTCTGCTCTGATCTTTATAATTTCCTCCTTTATATGAGCTTTGGGTTTTCCTGGTCTTCATTTTCTAGAAGCTTGACGTTCAACATCAGATTAATTTGCACTCATTCTGTTTTCCTAACATGTGTATTCACTGTTATGAATTTCCCTCATAAGACTGCTTTGTGTCCCATAAATTTGTATATGTTGTATTGACATTGTCACTTAATTGTAGAAACTGCTGATTTCTTCAATTTCCTCTGTAACCCATCAGTTATTCAGAAGTGTGTTGTTCAATTTCCATGTGTTTGTCAAATTCTTGCAGTTTCTTTTGCTGTTGATCTCCAATTTCATCACACTATGGTGTGGCAATATATAGGGGATAACTTCAATTCCTTTGCACTTAAATGTGTTTTATTAGCTGGAATGTGGTCTATTTTGGAGAATGACCTGTGTACAGCTGAGAACGTGTATTCTGATTCTGGGGTAGAACACTCTGTAAACATCTGTTAAGTTCATCTGTTCGAGTTTGATTTGAGTTCTAGTATTACCTTTGTCTAGTTGATCTATCTGTAACAGTGGGGTATTGAGGTCCCACACTACTATTGTATTAGTGCTTATTTGATTTCTCATGTCTCTTAGTATTTGTTTTTATAGTTGGGTGCACTAGTGTTTGGTGCATACATATTAAGGACTGTCATTTTTTCCTCTTGGATTGTTCCTTTAGTAGGATGTAGTGGCCTTGTCTCTTAATCAGGGTTGGTTTGAAATCCACTTGATCTGCAGAGGATAGGTACCCCTACTTTTGGGGGGGGGTTCTTGTTGTATGGAGTATTGTTTTCCACCCTTTAACTTTCAGTCTGAGTTTATTTTTGAATTGAGTGTTTCTTGTATGCAGCATATTGTTGGACATTGCTTCTTGACCCATCCTGCTAGTCTATATCTTTTGATTGGTGAATTGAGACCATTAACATTGATGGTTATAAATGATTTGTATTAACATCCTCATCATGACATTTTTTGTTGCATTTAATTTCTTGTGCCTGATGGGTTCATTCCACTGGGCTTCCTGGGGTTGTGATCTTCATTGTCTTTTCTTAGGATATTGTTTAAAATTTTCTGGAGTGTTGGTTTGGTATTTATGAAGTTCCTCAGGTGCTCCTTGTCATGAAAGTATCTTTTTTCTGCATCAATTTTGAAAGATAGTTTTGCAGGGTACATCAATCTGGGTTGGAGGTTGTTTTCCTTTAGGGCCTGAAATATTTCACTCCACGTTCTTAAGAAATCCGCTGTGATTCTAATTGGCTTTCCTTTGTATGTGATTTGCTTGTAGAATTTTGTTCTTGTTGGGTTTCTGAAACCTTATTATATGCCTATGTGTAGTTTTCTTTGGTACCAGGAATTGAACTCAGGCCCTTGCACTTGCAAGGCAGGCGCTGGAACCACTGAACGACTGAGCTAAATCCCCAGCCCTATGTGTAGTTTTTTTTAATTTTTTTATTTTTTATTTTTTATCATGGCTAGCTGGAGTCCTATATGCCTCATTTATCTGTACGTCAAGTTCTTTTCCCCTACTTGGTAAGTTTTCTGCCATTACTTCTGTGAAGACTTTTTTTTACATATCTGCATTCGTTTCATTAACTCCAGTCTTTGCATTGTCTAGAAGCTGCTGGATTGATTTCTCATGGTCCCTATTTTTAAGAAGTCTTTTTCTTGGCACTAATTGCAGTCCTACTTCTATATCTGAAATTCTATCCTTGCATTGGCTCATTCTGCTGTGTACTCTCAATGATTGAGTTTTTAATCTCCTGGAGATCTGTTTTCATCTGTTTTATGGATTCCATTTATTTTCTATGTTGGGATTCCATCATATTCCTCAGCTCCTTTTTTTAAGTGTCCACTATCATGTCTTGTACTATGGGCATAATTTCTGCCATTATCTGAGAAATTTGATTTTATTTTTTCCAGGTCCTTTTTCATTGCCAGTGCAGGGATTCCAGTTGGTTATCAGATTATTCTATCTCACTGCACCTTGGGGTTGCCTTAGGTGATCTGGAAGTCTGGTTTTGAGACTTATTTACGTGTCTTCTCATTTCAACAGATGCAGCCTGCTGTGCCTTTGTTGAGGTGATTCTTTGCTCACCCAGTGGTCTTCAATTCTCAGCAAGCCACTGAGCAGCTTTTTCTCTGTTGCTTACCAGTGCACTAATTCTTGGGTTCAGAATGGTGGCTTTCTGGATCCCTGAGCGGCCCTGTTGTCTGGGTGCACTTCTGGCTGGGGCTTGTGTACACTTGGGATGATATATAGATGTGCCTCTTGCTGTGCCCCTATGTAGCTCTTGTCTGGGAGTGAACTCAATAATTTTAAGTGTAAAGGGTCTTGAAACTAAAGCATTTGAATGTCTTGATGAATCCTGGATATACATTAATGGCGAAGGAAACCAACAGCCACTGAGATGTATAGCAGTGCAAGGGAAGCAGGCAATACTACACACATTTCCCAATTTTTCTTTTAGAAAACCACGGATAACTTGATTTCTGGAAACCCATGTAATGTCTCCTCTTCTGATTGCATGAATAGTTTCTAAATGGTAGAGAACGAACACTGGATTTTTAAAAAGTGGGAATTTAAATGAAATAAAATATGTCACATGCTTAGAAGAGTTGAGCAGTCAAGAATAGTTTAAAATTAGGTATGATTATTCATTCAAAATTTGCCATGTACTTACTGTGAGATATTGGATAATTTAACTTCTTCAAAACAATTTCACATATAGAAAACAAATAATATATGTGGTGTTCCTCTCTGCATATTATAACCATTTGTGGAAATGTGGTGGGAAAAAAACTTTCTTTTATGGTACTGGGGATTGAATCCAGGCCTCAAGCATGTTAGGGAAGCTCTCTACTAATGAGCTACACTCTCAGTTCTTTATTTTTTGAGAGTCTTGTTAAATTGCCCAGGTGGGTCTTGAGTTTGCAATCCAGCTGCCTCAGGGTTCTCGGTAACCAAGACTAAAAGTGTATCAGTATGCCTGATTAAGATCAAAACCTTAAAATAAGTAGGTGAACGGAAACAAACATTAGCATTTAATGTGTATAAATGTTACAGCGGTTACTGATTTTATTTTAGATATCCTTACATTTTCCCATGAACTTGCTTTGTGCTGATTGTTTTTTTAATCTCTTAGTAATTCTTGACTAGTATAGTGGCACACACCTCTAGTCCTAGAATTGTGGAAGGCTGAGGCAAGAGGATCACAAGTCTGAGCCTCGCCCAGGCAATTTAGTGAGACCCTGTTTCAAAATTAAAAATAAAACGGACGGGGAGGTAGCTTAGTTTGAAGGTCCTACACATATAAAAGCCTCCACTTTGTAATGAAATGTTTATTTTGTCTTCCTATTATAGACTGGACTGAATGTTTGTCCCCACCACATTCATATGCTGAAATCCAACCAAGCCCCAATGTGCTAGAGCTAAGAAGCAAGGCCTCTGTGAAGTAATCAGGCTATCAGAATGGAGTTCTCCAGAATGGGGTCGGTAACCTCATGAAAGTGACCTTTGCAAGCACAATGCCTTGAGTCTTCCACAATTCAGTAGTTTGCTGCTTATAAGGGAGCCCCACAGCTCAACTGTGACAGCATCCTCATGTCAGACCTCCAGACTAGAATGTAAGGAAGAACTTCTTGCTGTTTATAAGCCACCCTACAGTGGCTCCAATGAAGCCAGTTCCCAAGGCTTTCACACTATATTTAGGTATTTCTTCCAGGTTATATTTGGACAGTGTCATTCAGGTACATAGGCAAAACTATAATTTGACAAACTTTTGTTTGTAAAAATGTATATATGTTCAGGTATGTATGTACTGTATTGAGCATTGAAGCCAGGGCCTTCGTACTGACCTATTCTCAGCCCTTTAAACTTTTTTAAAATTCTGAGACAAGGTCTTACACAGTCACTAAGTTGCTTAGGCTGGGTTGGAACTTGTGATCCTCCTCGGTCTCCCAGAGTCTGATGATTGTTAAAACTGGAAGTTACAGAAGTATAAAAATTTTAAAAACACCATATAAAATTTCCCTTCGTCAACTCAATTCTTAACAGCTTCATGACTAAAAATCTTATTTTCCACCAATGAGTGAATTTTACATGAAAAACAAAATAAAAACACTACAACTTACCAATATATTGTAGTTTAATTGAAATATGACAACATAGTTCACTGAAAAAGTATCTTAGTATAAACATCATTTATACATAAAACCAAATATGTTGATAGTCAAGTTCTAAAATTCTTGGTTTATCTAAAACACTAAGATGCAACCTCAATAGTAATTACTTCACATTTTCCAGTCTCTTGATCTGTGCACGTCACATGTAAAGATCCATCCCTAAACAAATGAAAAATAAGTAACAGCTTTGTACAAACATTAAGTCATCATGAAGTCACTTTAGGACACTAAATAAGCAAGAACAGATTTCAATTTTTGAAAGAAAAATATTAAGATAATGAATAAACATAATTTCAGTGTCCTTAAATTTAATATATATTTCTTTAGGACATTCTTAGAACTGTCCTCCTATAGCACTGAGACAATAGTTTATTGTTTGACAACCCAAGGTGACAAACATCTTAACACTTTAGATACAAGCTCAAGATAAATCATACCATTTTCAAGCTCAGTCAAAATGGGCTAAACCAATTTTGATGAACTTAATATTCTTGCTAAGTTGTCCCTAATATTAATTTGGAAAGGATTTACTTAAAATATCCAGGGGTATGCATAGCCTGTAAGAGAAATGGTAATAGCTGAACTTATTTATTTCCTAAAGAGTTTTTCTGCAGCCATAATGATATAGTCTAGGTTGGGCATGGTGGTGGACACCTGTAATCTCAGTAGCTGGGAGGCTGAGGCAGGAGGATTGCCATGAGTTCAGTCCAGCCTGAGCTACACAGTGAATTCAAGGCCAGCATGAACTACATAGTGAGATCCTGTCTCAAGAAAAACACAAAAAACAAAAACAAAAACAAAAAAACCTGACCAAACAAAAAGAAATATCCTTTCACATGACAGAGTATCAACGATATAAACCATAGAAAATTATATTGAAAATTGATTAAAAATTACATCTCAAATGACATGGACCAGGGGTTTAGGTTGATTATATACAAAATAAAAGAGTTCATAAAATAGTCATAATGTAAATGATGAAATACACCCTTCCTCATAAAAATTAAGTTTTCAGGGTGAAAAAATGTGAGTCACTGATAAAATCTTTGTTAGTTTTTTAATAAGTAATTTGTTTAGAATGAAAATGTCTAAATAATAAGCTCAAAAAGGAAACAAGTTTCAAAGTAAATTTCTTAGTATTAAAAGCATATTCATTTTTGGTACCTTTTCATAGTGAGAACAGCTAATATATCACGTAATCCATTTTCTTTTTTATCTAAATCCTGGAGTACAACCTGTTTATGCAAAAACAATATGAAAATGATTCAGTACTTTGACTAATGATCTGAGGCATCAATTATTGTGAAGGTCCTGCACCTAAACAGATTTCAAAGAACAGGAGTTAGGCTTGTCAAGTAGAAATGTTTCCTCCAGATGAAGCACATGTAAGAAAACTAATATATATGTCTTTCATGTCATGTCCCAGATTAAAGTAATTATTTATTTATTATTAGGAAGTATCTCAGAAAATAAAGACCATTTTTCTTTTTGGTGATTGCACCATTATCACTAACATGTAAATCATACTTTGGCAAAGAAAGGTATACCAACAAACCAAATTTGGAGTTTGTCAGTGACTTTACATGTTGCCCTGATCAAGGCTGATGACTGCCAGCAAGGCCCTCCTTGTTTTACTCATTGTAAATGAGGTTAAAGGAGACAGGAACACGGAGTCTTCAATTCAGTATTATCTCACTAACTCTCCTCCTTCTGGTACCTTTAAGTAAGGATATAGTGGCTGCAGCTGCAGTCAGTCAGACAGGGGAGAAAGGCAATAAATGAGTTGAGAGAGCAACTGTGCAGATGCTGCTGCATGCCCTCTGAGTATAGCAAGTGTGTGTACGTATACCACCAAGTTACCTGGGGGGACTCTGAGCACTGGACTGACTGATTCCAAGTTGGGAAGTCTGAGATGTAAGCCCACACATGCAGTGTACATGTAGGTATCTTTTCATTTTGTTTTTGTTGGAATCAGAAAGTAAATCACACACTACCCTCACACATACTCGTGTTCCAATCTCTTTAACATAAGACATTATAAACTAAATATTGTTCTGGGCTGGGTGTGGTAGAACACGCCTGTAATCCCAGCATGTGGGAGGCTGAAGCAAGAGGATCACTGTGAATTTGAGACCAGCCTAGCTACATAGTGAGTTCCAGGTCAGTCTCAACTATGTATTAAGACCCTATCTTAAAAAAACAAAACAATAAATAAATATTGTTTTTGTTTTTTGGTACCGGGGATCGAACTCAGGTCCTTGTGCTTGCAAGGCAGGCAGCAGAACCACTGAGCTAAATCCCCAGCCCTGTAAATAAATATTGTTCTGCACTCCCATGTGCTAGTTCTAACGCAACTGTATTTCCTGGACATGTGTCCAAGTAGCTGCTAGGCTCCGCTTCACTACTGTCAAAAGAGTGCTATTTTGAGAAAGTAATCTTAATCAGAGGCAAAGTGATCCAATGGGAAGAGCACAGGTCAGGTGTAAAACCAGGTGGAAATAACAAATATAACAGGGTATCCACGATCATAAGACAGTTTTTAATTTTTTCCCCCTTTGTGATGTTGAAGATGGAATGTAAATCCTAAAGCATGGCAGGTAAGTGCTCTATAGCTGAGCCACACCTCCAGCCCTGACAAGCCAGTTTCTTAATCATCTGTAACAGGCACGTAATGTTTTACCTACCTGGCAGTTAGCAAGCAAAATGTCAGTTTCCCCTTCCTCTTATGTAATTAAGGTGGTCAAAGAGCATGAACAGAGAACTAGTATAAATATAAGTTGTATTTTTAAAAATTTCCCCAAAATTCTTTAAAATTAAAAAATCACATATTTCTTCCCTCTTTCAGCCAAGTAGAAGCAATTCATTCATAAAAATATTAGGTATTAGCTGGGAGTAGTGGCACATGGCTATGATCCTAGCACTCAGAGGCTGAGGCAGGAGGAGTGCAGGTACAAGCGCCCTACCAAGGCAACTTAGTGAGACTTGGTCTCAAAACAAAAATAAATAAATAAAGAGCTGGGGATGTAGCTCAGTGAGAAGGCCCTGAGTTCACTCTCTAGTCACATGTACACATTAGGCGTCCTATATACATTTTGTATTAAAGTGAGATATTACACTGAATCTAATTGAGAAAGAAAAGCTATACAAGTTGCATGTGACTAAGTCATAGTCTAATTTTATGTATTCACCTGTGCAAACTTGGTTTCTTCTTTTGCAGAGTTTTCCCCCTCAGATTCGTAAAGCTCAAGACACACGGAAGATATACTGCCAGGGGCTTGTAAAGTGTGTTGTCTTCGCGCTGGCAAAGGAGTCCCTGATGGAAATAGTACTGTGAACATGCTGGCTCCTGATTCGTCCACTCCCTGCAGTCAGGGAGAGAAGATGAATGTCCTTTGATATTTATCTTTACAACAACAAAAAACTATCACACAGGAAATATATACCACATCTTGTTAAGCTGGAAATTAGGCAAAGGGAAGAAAATAAATAATACTTAATTCTACCCCTACTTTATTTAAAATTATACTGAAACACACCTTTATCTATATTAGAAGTTTATTATTTCATCTGCCTAAAAAATTAACACATTATAGAAATATTAACTAAAAGACTTTAAGAAACTCACTAAAATAAAATTATAAGACTAAATTTTTGAAGCAAAACTTTTATTAGTACATTTTAGATATACATAATATTCATCATAAGGAATTTGTACATGATACATTTTGTATAAGCCTAAATTATTATTATTATTTTTTAGTACTAGGGATAGAACTCAGGACCTTGTGCTACCAAGGCAGGCAGCGGAACCACCGCTGTATAAGTCCCCAGCCCTGTATAAGTCTAAATTTAAAATCTTTACCAACATACAAAGTTTTATTGTAAATTCATTGTGGCAATTAATTTGTACCATTTTAATGGAAACATATAGAAAAGCTAAACATACCTTAACTAAAATATCTCTAGCTGAACACTCTACCATAAGAGAATCCTCCACTAATTCATTTTCTTTTCCAATAAGAATTCCTGCTTCAATGGCTGCACCAATTGGGATAACCTCATCAGGAGGGATAGAGTTGAGAAGCTCAACAGCTGGGAACAAATCTTTAATCAGCTGCTGTAGCTTTGGGATTCTTGAAGACCCTCCACAAAGGACAACCTAGAAAATGAGTATAATTTTCAGTTTTTATTTCTAGAAGATTCTCAAAATCAAATGTTAACAGGCTGAGCAATCTTCATTCTATGTTAAATGGTAAAATACAAAGACCTCCATATTTTAACATATTATACAAATATACATATTTAACATGTCATACATATATCTATTTAACATTCTTTACTTGTAACAGAATTTAAAATGAGAAAAATCTACAGTATCAAATACAGTATAAAGCTGGGTGCAGTGGTGCAAATTTGTAATTCCACCATTCTCGAGGCTGAGGCCGGGGACTGTGCTCAAGCCAGCATGGACTACAGAGCAAGTCTGAGGCCAGCTTTGAATCTTTTGAACCCAGTCTCAAAAAACCAATGACAAACCAAAAACAGTACAGCAATATTTTTGGCTCATGAAAATTAAATTGTGTATATAATATATAGCTTAACCACAAATAGTTATTTGAATAGGAAATATTTTGTATTGTTTCAATCTCTTCTATGTTTAAATCCCACATCATTTTTATAAAAAAATACTATCGATCCATATGAAAATTTTGCCATAAATTTTTGCCTTTTACCATACAAAAATAAGTATCTTGAGGACAAAGATGTAGTATTACAAAGCTACATTTTTAAGCTAAATTCCAATTCTAGCTTGTTGCCTACACACTGATCTTACAATTGTAAGCTAATTATTTTGCCTTTCTTAGTTTCCTCATCCGAAAGTGCAAATCACAGTGCTCTGCACCAAGTACCTCTTGGGGTGCTTTTGTGAGGATTAATGGTTTAATGCATGTAAAATTGCAGAAGCCGCTGCAAGATGTTAGTCAAATCCCTGGCATTTAAGCACTCCTGGAGGACATGGCCCCATCATTAGCACAGGTGCATGGCAGGCCTCCTTATGTAATCATAAATCAACCATTCATGTGCAGTATGGTCATGCAAGGACGCACAGCTGTTTTTCAGTATGCCTCAGTATTTGATAATGGACACTTATCAGTTCTATGCAAAAAAAGGGCTTTACTGCTGTTTTTTGCCAATGTTTGCCCCATATGCTTTCTTCTCTTTGGGATCTCTTCTGGAAAAACACCTCTCCAGCCCCCTCCTTCCCAACACATGGTGTAGTGGGCAGGATAACTTGGTGGAATAACATGGGTAATTCCCCAGCTTATGAAAAAACAGTGCCTGGTGGCAAGAAAAAGCCTCAGGGAGATGCTGGCATGGGCCACTTGGCCTCACTTTGGTTGCCCATAGCAACCTCTTTGGCAGCATTAAGAAGCCCCTGAGGACTGAAAAATAGTCTGCATGACACCAAGAGACATACTGAGGACTTTAGAAGTGTTGGGTGAACAAATTCCTTACACCTACTGTGACTTGGCAGGGTGAATGGTTTAACTATTTTTACTCTTCTGCCTTGTGGGACAAAAGACAAAAATAGAGAAAATTCCGGAGCAAGGACTGGCTGCCACAAATCATGCTGTGGAACACAAGATGCATCTCCTTCTCCCCAAGCGTAAGTCCTCATCCCTGGAAGTCCCCTAGTGGGGTTAAGTGACACGTTTACCACTATACTGGTGTGCTCAAAGAGGAAAACGCTTGAGAGCAGTGTCTTGATCTGGCAGTGGAGCAAGCAAGAACTGGTAGAGAGGGCAAAAAGGACAAAAGTGGGTGGAGCTAAGACTCCAAAAGCCAAGACAGCAGGAGAGGAGAAAGTGCTGGGATCTGTGGGAGCAATGATGGGAGCAGCGAACAAGCTTCAAAGGCCAGGAGTCTTTAATCAATGCTAAGTCCAGCACAACAAGCAAGTCCTGGAGCCAGGAGGCTCTAGGTGATGATGGTAAGTATGGTGAAACAATAAAGAATGCAACGGCACAACTGGATGATGAGATAAAGCACTATGGTAAGGTAAAACCATGAGAATCCAGCTGCATAAGCAAGTGACTTCTGGCCAAAGGGGACCAACCCTCAGAGACAAATATTTGGTTCACTGACGGTAACATGGGATGTGTATGTGAAGCAGTATCAGCTGCCTGGGGGTCATGAGGAAATAGGGCAGACTGTTTTGAAACTAGAATAGCCAGGGGTGATAACGCTCTGCACAAAGTCCTACCAATTCACCAGTTTGGCTCATGAAGAAGCCAAACAGGACATGGTGAATGACTGTGAACCACAGGGAACTGAACAAAGTGACTATGTTGCATACAATGGTACCCAATAGTGCAGACTTGATGGACTGTCTCACCCTGACAGCGGGTGGATACCATTTGTAGTGAAGTTGGTCAGTGCTTTCTTCTCCACCACTGTATGTCTTGATAGGATTAATATGCCTCCACCTGGGGGGGCAGGCCATGGACCTTTCAAGTATTGCCATGAGGCTATTTGCACAGCCCTACTTGGTGTCATGGCCTGGTGGCCCAGAACCTGGCCACCTGGTCCAATCCACACTCTGTGTCTTTGTTCCATTATACTGATAATGCTATGTTATTATTTTTTGGTACCGGGGATCAAACTTGGGACCTTGAGCTTGTAAGGCAGGCGGCAGAACCACTGGGCTAAATCCCCGGCCTGATAATGTGATAACCTCTGATTGCCTTACAATTTTGGATGCTGCTGCACATAATCTGAAGAAAGCTTTGCTGGCCTAGGGGTAGACTATCAACGAAGACAAGGTCCAAGGACACATCTGTCAAATTCTTGAATGTTAATCTGGGTGGGTAGGACAAGAGTAATCCCTGATGCAGTACCTGGTAAGATCCAGATATACCCCAGACAAGGGTCCATCAGTTACAAGTGTACAAAGGCTTGCTAGGTTGCTGGCAGACCTTCATACTGCACTTAGCTACCTTGTTGTGCCCATTATACCAGATGACCCAGAAGAAAACAACATAAGACTAGATAAAGGCAGGTGAAGCTGCTTTTCAGGACTCAAAAAGGGAGTTCATGCAAGTACAAGCCCTCTGAGTCATTGACCCTATCCTGCCTTTTATCCTGTGAACATGGATGAAGTTGGGTTCGGCTGGGGTTTATAACAAAAGCAAGAAAAATAGAAGCACCCTATTGGCTTTTGGTCATAGGTGTGAAAAGGAGCTGAAAGCAGGTATTTTCTAAATGAGAAATAGTTAATGGCAATGTATGCTGCTCTGCATGCTTATGAAGAAATCATGGGGTTCAGACAATGGAAGTAGAGAATAAATACCTAATAGAGGGCTAGGTCCTAGGATCCATGAGGAACAGGCACAGGAAACTATATAGAATGAGACTACAGGTTATTACACTTAGCCCCTATACAAAAGAGAAAGGTAGGTCACTGGCTGAGGCCTGGTGTTCTGATGGCTCTAGTCCAGGCATAACCCTGCAATGGATGGCAGTCGCTGTCCAGCCCTGTATGGGAACACTGGTTTGAATTACCAACTTGGATAGGGTATGGATCCTCATGGGGTGCTGAGTTATGGTAAGACTTGTGGGAGCGTGGCCAAACTAACACATGTGGTGTACCATGTGTCAAAGCTTAGGCCTCTCCTCTCACTAGGGAATGATTTAGCAGATACCTTGACAGGGGTAGCCAGCATTTAAGGGCCACCCTCAGCGGTGGCATCATGACTCCATAAGAAACTGGGATACGTAGGGACCCACACCATGCAAACTGTAGCACTGCAACGGTACCTGGCTGACTTACACAGAAAGAAGCGGGACAAAGGTGTGCGCTCAATGCACTCAGCTGGCCCTTTGCAGGAGGAAGATGCCTATGCAATTGGGTGCAATACCTCGAGCACTCCACCCCCTGCAGCAGGCAGAGTGCATTGGGCCCCTGACTCTCTCACAGGCACGCAGGTATGCTGATTGCTGTGGATACCACCATGGGTGTAGGCTTTGCTTACCTCGCGCCCTCTGCTGACCAGGCCCATGCCATGAATGCATTACAATGGTTGACTGCAGTGTATGGGATGCCACTAGGAATAGCATCTGACCGGGAAACCCATTTTACAGGGGCTCAGGTGAAACAATGAGCCAAAGACAATGACATCACCCGGCACTTTCATGTGCCCTACTGGCCACAAGCTGCTGCTGTAACCCAGAGGTACAACAGACTCCTGGAAAATAAGCTGGCCTATTTGGCTCCAAAGTTTATTGGGCAGGTGCAGGCCTTACCACAGGCTGTTTAACTGCTCCATGACCCGTCCTGGTGTATGGGTGACAGCCCACTGGATCGCCTCCTGAAAGCACAACCGACCTGTCTGTGAATTTGAGGCAGAGCAAGGTGCTAAGGTAGTGAAAGTGGCTTTGATCCTGCCCACACTGGAGCCTATGCAGCCAGGGACCCAGTAGCAACGGACTTGGGAGGGACCCACTGACCCCCGCAGGGGGAGGGACTGTGCCTTGCCATAGAGGTGCAACCCTGGATTTCAACATGGCCACTGAAGGCCTCAGTGTGCTCCCCACTCGATGCCAGGGCCACCATCCTAAAGGGAAATGACATTGTGGCTGCTTGGCTTATTCTCCTGGGAGTGATAAACAGGGCTCCAACTCCCTTGCCTCTGGTGGCAATGGGGACACTGGTCTGGTATTTTAAACTAGGAGCTAGAATGATCCCAGCCACCGTCCTATCACAGGACGAGCATGTGACCTGCATCCTCCCCAAAGGGAATCCTCTTCATGATGGTTTCTCTTTCTGCCCTATTCCTTCAACCAGGTTGAGTCAAGCCAAGTGTTATTTCTTGGGCACACACATTTGCTTGTGTGTACCAGCACTTACACTGTTGAATATGTGTGGAACTCATTATGGACACAGCTGAGGACATTCTGTGGAGAACTGCGCTGATGTCCCTGCTCAATAAGATGGACTGGCAACAACAGGACCTACTAGATCCCCTGGGATCAACAATGCCAGGCTGTTGAGGCACAGATTCAGAGGAGCACAACCACCCCACAAGGACTGGGACCTATGATGTATATAACAAATGCCAGGAGGTGGATGATGGGGAACCAAGTAATGTAGTTAGATGTCACCCCGTTGTGTACTGAATAGGACAATGCATCAGTGGGAAATTGCAGTGAGATGGATACTACTGAACTTGTGTAACATGTTACTTGGTGAATGACACAGATGCCTGGTGGGATGGCCAAAAGCTCACAGGCACAGTGCACACTGATTGGCCCAATGCGGACGCCTTAAAGGTCTGCGGCACTATGGGTTGGCTGCACCTCCCCACGCACTGGATAGGATGCTGCACCTATGGGTTTCCCTATATTAGGAGTACTATCAGGCTCACTCTGACGGGCACACTCGACAAATGGGACACTGTGTATCACAGATGGCACCAAGCAGAATGATGGCCTGGTGGTTCTATCCTACGGCAGTGCTGGTACCAGGGGCGGGACTACAGACCTAGCTCTCCAAGTTGAAGCTCAACACATGGCACAAGCCCTGGATATCATGCACCAATCCCTGATGTTGCTCATGGATGAAACATCCCACACAAAAAGAGCTGTTACAGAACAGCATGGCTCTTGATTGACTGACTGCAGTAAGGGGAAGCACCTCTGCCCTCCTACATTTAGAATGTTACATTTTTATTCCTGACCACCAGACACAAATACAAGAGGCCTGAAGAGAAATGGATACAGAATGTCCGTCGTCCAGGCCTTGCAACAAGACCCTTTAACCCAATGGTGGGAACCCCTGCGATCCACCTGGTGCTGGGTGGCTCTCCACAGCACTATGATGTGCTTGGTGGTTATGTATTGTTCCCAGTGTTTCTGCTGTGGACTCTGGGCACAAGGGGCAGCCCTGTGTGCCACTTGTAAGAAATGGCAACCTCTGGCATCTGAGGACACCTGGAGGACACGGCCCCATCATTAGTAACAGGCACATGACAGACCTCCTTATGGAACCATTTATCAACTATACACGTGCAATATGGTCATGCAAGGACACAGCTGTTGTTTTTCAGGATGCCTCAGTATATGATAATGGACACTATAAGTATCATGCAATAAAGAGCTCTATTGCTGCTTTTTGCCAATATCTGCCCCATGCACTTTCTTCTCTTTGGTAGTCTCACCTGGAAAAACACTCCTTCAGCCCCCTAACCCTGACAAAAGCCCAGTTATTCCCCCTATCCTGTAAGAGGATTACCCCTACCCACTGCCATGGCTTTGTAGGTAGGTTGTTATTTCCCTGCCCCACTTCAGGCCTTGCCGTGACATTGAATTGGAACACACTCATACACCACATCTAAGCAGACGAAGTAAAAGTTGCAGATGGTGGTACCTGCCTGTAATACCAGCATTCTGGGAGGCAGAGGAAGGAAGAGTGCTAGTGTCAGCCCAGCTGGGGCAAATTAGGACTTGGAGAGGCTGAGAATAGCAGTACAGCACAAAAATTCTGGGTTCAATCCTAGTATCACAAACAGACATATATACACACAAAGCAGCTTTCAACTGCTCTTCCCTCTGCCAAGAGAGCTGCCCATATCCCTCAAGCCTGAGTCTTAGAAGGAAAAGGGGGGAGGGGGAAGAAGAGCCACATAGCAGACCAGCTACCTTCAGCTGCTCATAGGCAACATGAGTGAGACAAAAACACCTGTTTCAGAAACCAGAAAGTCCTCATTCTCTTGACACAGAAAAATCAGTAAACTAAAGACACCATTTCACATTTTTAACCTCCTGTATATTAGGAATACCCGGAGAGGAAATCTTCAATTACATTCTTAATCCTAAAAAATTTTCTGGCCCAAATCAAGCACTTCAGAGTTGCACTGTTAGTGATAAATAAGTGCCCACAACCAGTTACTAAAAGGACCTGAGTACACACCACACTACACTATATACTTCCTCACTCCTCCTAACAGCCTCAGAGAGTAAGTTACTACGCACTTGTAAGCTAAGTATTAGAGCCCTCTTCTAAGAAAATTAAGGCTCAGGAATGAAGCGCCTGGGCTGGTTCAGAACCATCAGCACTGGGAGGCTCAGGGCTATGCTGAGTCTGTCTGGAAATTCATTCCCTTCATCCCTTCGCCTTACTACTCTTACTGTACACCTGCTTCAGTCCTTACCACCCTCCCTCTGACCTCAGGTACTTAGCATGCAAAGCCAGGTGAGTCTCAAAACAAAATGAAAGAACAGTAAGCACAAAGCCAAACCAACCAAACAAACTTACTGAACCAATTTACAAAATAACCAATTTGTCACACAGCACATATAAAAATGTTAAAAGATAAAAACTTTCAAAGTATAGAAAAGCTGAAAGAAAACACGTGCAATATTTATCACATATCTCAACAAAGCAGCTGAATCAAGCACAGTAATAGATCATTAGATTTAAACAAATAAATGAAACTTCTGTATTTTGAATACCTTCTTCCACAACAGTCCCCAAATTAAACAGAAGTACATGCCTCAAGATTATTACAGTAAATAGCAGTTAATATTCTGATTATATGAAGTAGTCACACAATTTTTAAAAAACTGCTATGATTTAAATGATACAATAGATGAAGATTATCGAATGGATACACACAAGGAGATATAAAATCAAACAAACATCTAAAAATAATTACTAACAAAATATGTGAAAATATATCTTTTAAAAAAATATTCAATTAGAAATTTATCTTTAAACAGCAACACTCAGTGTCAGCAAGGTTAAAGTAAAAATGTGTAATATATTAATTGCCTTTGGAACATGAAAAGGTAAAAAGTCATTAACTATTTATACTTTAAACCCAGTGATTTTACTGTAAGATTAATCCTAAATATGGTAGAAACTTGTGTCCAAAGACAAGAGAACAGTAAAATAAAAAACAGAAAAAAAAACCCAAACAGTAAAATAGTAAAAAGACCCACCCTAGTTAAGAGAACAAAATAGTTCTCTCATTGGTATCTTTCCTTTCCTAGAATATGAACAACCTATCTTAAAAAGTTTTTATAAGGACTATATAGTCATACGGGGAAAGGAATTGATTACAATATTAAGGAAAGAGTGATATTCAAAATTGTACATGTAAAATTCAAAGTTATTTTTTAAAAAGCTCACAATATTACAGCTAGCAAATAAATTTACACAAATTATTATGAAAAATTTTGGAATAAAGCACTGACATTTGATATTTTCTGAATTTTCTTATTGGAACACTCACTGCTTGAATAATGAGAATGAAAATAATATACATTTTAATTTTAAGTCTAATGGGTAGAAATAATTTTGTGGTAAAAGACAAACATTACACAATTTGAATACTTTTGAAAGTTTCAAAATTCTTACCTAAGCAACAGAAATGTGGTATGGTATACTGTAAGAACAGAGTTATGAATGATACTGGGCTAAATCCTGGCTCTATTACTTACTAACCATATGACCTGATAAAACAGATAAACAACAGCGTCGACCTTACAGTTTTTGTGTGTATTCAATAATACAAGCACTTAAAAAAAAATGCTTCATTCATATGAGGCATTCAAGTGTCTGTTTATCTCACAAATTAAAAAAATATATTAGAAAGGAATTATTCTGTTTTACTAGAAAACTGAGCACTTGTGTGTATGGAATTCAGTTCACCAGAGCCACTAATCAAAAGTCAATGACTTTTCCTTATGCAAGCCCTGAAAATACAAGCATAAAACTATTTTTTCCCATACCAAGAGCCATTTCCTAACTACCAAATCTGAAACTATTCCTAAATTAGGGAAATATAAAAGCATTACCTTGTTAATATCATCTGATGTAAATCCACTTTGATCTAAGAGACCTCGGATTGCGTCTACACATTTGTTAAAAAGTGAAGAACAGAGAAGTTCAAATCTTGCTCTGTACGTAACACATGCAAACAAACACCCGTACAAGCAGAAGAGAAAAACATAGAAAAAAGGCTTAGTATATCAAACCATTTTTTTCTTATAAAGATTAATGCCACAACTTAAAAGTGCTATTCTCTCAGTTACAGCGATCCATCAGAACTATTAAACAATGTGGTGCCATGGAGGAGGGGTGTCTTGAGTTATTCATCTCCCTATGTATGAAGAAATATTTAATATTAACAGGTGGAAAGCTGTCTTGCCCATGGTCTACATATAAGCTTTACAAAAAAACGAATACACATCCAATATAAGGCATTCCCAACAATGAAACAGACCCTAATCATTTCAAATTCTTTGCTATTTTTATATGTTAAAGATTTCAAAATTATTTCTAATTACTTTTCATTTAGCTTGAGCCTATACTGCACCTAAGTTTAGTCATTTAGCACTGCCCGAGAAGCTAGAACTGTGGCATATAATAACATTTTAAGAAGTTTATGTTCATGAAAAATATACGGAGCAATTTTAAAATCTGCTATTTATAGATATTAATAATACTTTTTGGCTAAAATATTCAAAAGGAAAATTTCCTTAATGAACAATTATAGGTACAGGCATGGTGGTACAATGCCTGTAATACCAACTAATCGGGAGACTGAGGCAGGACAATTGAAAGTTTGGGGTGAGCCAGAATAACTTAGTAAGACACTGTTTAAAATTTAAAAAAGATCTGGGGATACAGCTCAGTGGTACAGTGCCCCTAGTAGTGGGGGGCACTACTGATCCCCAGTACTGGGGAAAAGAGAGGAGAGGAGGGGAG